CACAAGAGCAATGACTGAGCAGTACTAAAAACAAAAAATAAGAACTAGATAAGATATCACTCGAAAACAATTAACCCCCATAGATTAAATAAAGGGTTCACTTCAGAATTCTCTGTAGGTTATTTGGATTGATATACATCTGATGAAGGCTGGAGGGGGCAATGGCCGAAATGTTGCGAAGACAATAACAAAGATGTGGATAATAGTCGGCATATAAATAGTGTAAATAATAAGTCTTAATCCTAGAAATTCCAACAGAAGTTTTCTTTTACCTTCAAAAGAAATTGAATTCTAAATATTCTAGAAGTGTATAATATTATTGTCATACATTGTGAATGATTTTCATTCACAATGTATGACAATAGTATTATACTGAATCTATTATCTGTAATTGTTATATCCCAGGCTGTTGGAATGAACAAAAATAAAAAAAATTTCCATCCCCTCTTTCCTCATTATCTGCCCTAGAAATCTCAACTCTCTCTTCTTGATGTTATATATAAGTGTCCTTTTTGTTCCCATTTTCTCTAAAACTTTGTCGTGGCTCACATATTCAGTCTATGGTATTATCAGCATCCTTTTATAGAATCACATTTCTATTACTTTAAGTCTCTTCTTCATCTGTAAAGAGATTTTCTAGCATTCATTGTCACATAAGAGGACTGATATTACATAACAGTTCAGTACTTGTTTCTTTGTTTTTAACTGTTATATCCCAGGTTGTTGGGATAAACAAAAACGAATGAAAATAAAAGACAAGTGTATTTTAACATATAAATCAGTGTTTCTCAACCATTTTCACTTCAGGGGCAATCTTGTAGAATAACTAAAACTCTGGGGTGCACTTTAAATTTTAATAAGGAAAAATTATTCATGAAATTTGAAAATAGGAAAATAATAAAGAAGCCTCCTGAAATAAGCATTTTACTTTTAAGATATTGTATATTTAAGCAGTGTAGTTTTCATTTAAAGGGATTTACGAAGAATCTGCTTTTCTTTTAAGAGGTTCTGATAATGACTGATTGCCTTGAGAAAGGCAAATGGGAAAGGATTAGCCACTCTTTCTTAAAGATTAGGGAATTTAACATATAAAAAAGACTTAGACTTGGAAACTATGTGCTTGGTGTCTAACTTTTTCAAAATACAGATTTTTTTTTAAATATAAAAACAAATCTTAAATTACTCTTTTGTTAACTTGGGGCCCTGCTGTGTACCTCACAGGGTACATTATTACAGCTCGGTGCACTGGTCGAAAAATGCTGATATAAATAAACAAAACTTTATTCATTTACTGTCTAAAAACTAGAAGGATTGAAGCAATGAATTCCATGTGTGTCAGTTTGTCACCATGTTCAATTCAGAAGTATTCACACTTGTCTTCATAGACAAGAGAAGTAACTCAGTTGCATTTTGAGTTATCCTTCTTTATAGCAGAAGGAAACTAGCTTCCCCTAGCAGTAATATTACTGTTTATTTCACTCCAGACTTTGTCAATGGGAGTGTGACCCTGAAGCTTTCTTCAAACAAACTACATTCACTTATAGATATAAGATCATTCTCTTTGGGTTGGGTGTTTATACATCTATTTGTCATGCAACGTATGAATATCTCAGGTGTAGTAGAGCCAGTGATGTATTTACATCTTAAAGCAACTATTGCCACCAGGTGAACCACAGTTCTCTGCCCTTGGTTACGAGATCATCCTTCAGGTCAAGTATGTACAAGGTTTCTCTAATCATTATTTAGCAATATAGATCATTCAGAAGAAATTATAAAATATGTTGAGAAATATGAATAATATATGGATTTTATGTTAATTGTAATAAGAAATAAGAATCTTTTAGTTGGAAGTTCTTGACCTTCATTCTTTTTGTTTTGTTCTTTTCTTTTTGTTCATCTTATTTCTCTGGAATTCAAAGAAATAGTGATTAAAAACAGGAGAATTGATGAGTAAAAACTCGTTCTGCTGTATCGTTTGCCTCGGCTCTTCTCACTGTTAAGCTCCATTCTCCAATTAAACGCAAAAAAAATTAACTGCTGTCTTGCAGGCAGGCGACCAGGTTTTAAATTAAGGAAATTTTGAATTGTGACACTGCCATGACTTTTTCTTCAGCATTGTTTTTCTGAATTTCTTCTTTATTGTTTTCCTTCATTATTCTCCTCCTTAAAATCCTGTGTTGACATTTTATCTGAATGCTGCCCAACTATCATTGCACTATGGAAATGGCATTATCAGAAAAACAAAATTGTTTTTGACAGAAATGCAAGTTGTCTCTTTACGATTTCTTTTGATGACTGAGTATTAACAACTTAAGGCTGCCATTATGGTTGTCATTGCAATATTTTGCCTGATTTTATTTTTTTTCTTAATGTCCCTTGGCATTTATATTGAAGAATATATACACGAGACAAATGACACAAAGGCTTTAAATAGCTCTTAATTTATTTTTATTCTTTCCTTTGTTTGCCAGACATAATGCTTATATCTTTCTTGTAGAGATCTATAATTGCACCCAGTCACTTACAAAGCAGGTTACTTCATTCCATGTATCTTTAGTCACATTTCCCATTATATCTATGAATATGTTTGCAAATCTCTCTCATATATATATATATATATATATATATATATATATATATAATATATATATATAATATAATATAAAATTGTGTATTTGGGCAGCAATCCCTCTTTTTATACAAGTTTCATTCAAAATGACTGACAAGGTACTGCAATTTTTTTGTTTAATTTTCATGTGTTCTTATACTTTTCTGGGTGTAAATTCACATGTCCCTTTAAGGAACTGTGTTCCTGATCAATCCAAATTTATTCTTAATTATATTGGATATACTACAACATGCCTAACAAGAAGATTCACGTTGCATCTCCCTGACCATAGCTCAATTAGGTCTTATTTAAATACACATGGAGACCTACCAAACTCTATCTGTAACATACTTGTTGATAATACAAATATTATAGCCTCACCCACATGTAAAAAAGGCTAAAAATAATGGAAACTTATTAATAAAAAAGAAAAAGCCAATACTTGATAATATCAACTATGAACATGGATACAATGTTCTGATCTTGTTTGGAAAATAAAACAGTCCTATATAGATACATACATAACTAAATTCATACATTTAGTTAAAAGTAAAAATAAAATCATTCTTGATAATGGCTAAAAGTATAGCTGAAAGTGCTTGAACATACAAAACATTTGGATAATTTTTACATAATTTATGTCCAGAAAAGAAAACTATATGAAAAATTAAATAAAAAAAAAAAAAACTGCAGTACCTTGTCAGTCATTTTTAATGAAACTTATATGTGGTTGATGCAAAAGATCTCTAACAATTTTTTATATAATCTTAGAGAAATCCTTGAACTCTTTATTATTTAAATTGCAGTCGGTCAACTTCCTGGCATTGTTTATAAGCCTTAATAATTTCAAAGTTAACGAAACAGCTACCATATAAGTTTATGAAAAAGAAATTGAACATATTTCTCTTTCAATTGATTTAGTATAAAGTCATTTGCGTTTATATATGTATGACAAGAGCAACTAAAAATGGATTTACTTCAAGAATTCAAAACAAGGACAGTCTTCAACCGAAATTATATCTATTGTGGTGGGGGAGCTCTTCTTTGTTTTTGGTTGTATTCAAAGGAAATACATTGTGCAAGTTCCAACAATTCATCAAACTATGATTGTGAAATACAATAGTGACCAATTGGCTCACTTGAATGACACATCAGGATAGAAAAGATCTTTTTCTGGGTAAGAAATTCAGTCAGTGGTTTTGCTACATGACACTACCCATCCTCTTGCTGAAAATTTGATGCAACAAATGATCATTGAGTTGGGGTGGATGGTTCTTCTCATTGTAAATACCAATAAATGATTTTATCAAAAGAATATTGGAAACACTACATCCACCTATTTTTGGAATATATGTGTAGCATAATTTCATTCATATCAAATCATAGACGGAAGTGTATTGTCAGAAATAACTCCCCATTTTCATTCCAACTTCTGGCTGATAATGTTAGTTGCTAAATTAGTAGGGGGAATGTTCTTTTGCTTTAAGATGTTTAATACAGTAAATTTTAATTTTTTTTCCTGGAGATTATTTTTAAAAGAATAATTTATAAAAAAAATCCCTAGCCATTCTCTTGGTTTACTCAGCGAATATTTTCTTAATATTATATTCTTTCCTTTTAAAATAACTCTTGAGGTCTTTTAGTAAATTTCTCTTACACACACACACACACACACACACATACACACACACAGAGTTTGAATTGGCTCAATTGTTCAAATTCTTTTAGATCCAAAGAATTTGTGAGATGCCTTGATGAAATTGTGCTTTGGTGTCTTCAATCTACTGCTCAAATTTTTCCAAGATTGCAGTTGTAGCTTTGTAAAAACACAGTGCAGATTTTGCTTGTCTCCATTTCATAAAGCAAGTGTTTGAGAAGACAAAACTGCTGTTTGGATTGAATGTATAAATCCATCTTGATGTGTTGAGAGAACAAAAAAAAGCATGAGTGATCATTTGCATCTTGGTTTCTCTCAATAGAATACATTTGGCAAAAACAGAATTTTAATTCTCTTCAAGATACTATTGCAGTAAAATGAATGCCAAACTTGAAAGTTTTTACTAAAAAGGAAAGGAAGAAAAGAAAGAAATTTTCTTCTATTTCTTCCCAAACAGAAGAAGTTAATGTGTTTTTGTTTAACATTATTCATTACACCTACAGAAGATGAACCTCAGTCAATGGTTGAAAAACTGTTTATCATGACAAAGGTTTTTAAAGTATGTTTGTGTTTTGTACAAATGAAAATGTTGGGACAAATGTTGGTTTAAGGCCCAACCTGAGAGATAAGCATTATGGCCAAAGGGGGAAAAAGTTACACATTGCCTAAAAATGTTTTTCTTTTATTCTGGTTCTTATTATATTTTTTATACGTTACCTGACCACCATAAAGGCTTATGGCCACATCACATTGAAACACCTGTTCCTATATGTTCACTGAAGTTAAGCAACATCCAGCCTAATCAGTACCTAGATGGGTGACTGCTAGGGAATACCAGATACTGTTAATTTCACTCAAAGTTGTTATCTGTTGCCATAACAGGATATGACAACACAACTATGAAATTCAAAACACTGTTGTTCGAGGATCAGTCACCTTTAATTGCTGGATATACTTTTATACATCAAATGAAGTCACAGTGATAAAGATTAACTCGATATTCAAAACATTGATCTTGATATTAATGGGTTAACACAAATGTATGACATGGTCATAATACATTTTTTTTGCAAAAGCAAAAAGACAGCTTTGCATCCCATTATTAAAGAGCTTTTTCTCTTTTTACATTTGAACATTACTGTCTTGATAACAGATTCCCAGTACCTGATTAAAGACCTCCTTCTCAATGGAAATTGTCTTGTAATTGTAACTACCTACAGTGGGTAAAGGATTTTAGCTGTGATTTAGTTGCTAAAGCCAACTATGAAAATGAACCAAATAAGAGAATTGTAATGTTTCGCTCTGGAAAACTTTGGTTTTCTTTTCTGTCAGACAAATTTATCTTTGATTGTTTGCTGTCATAAGACATTTAAAAAATTTCGAATGGTATTAACAAAAAACAACCTGTCAAAACAGTAAACAGTATATTTGTTGTTATCAGGTCTTTGAGGTTTTACTTTCAAGGTTTGTTGAACTTTGTCTATTTGAAGACAGACAACAACAACAACAACAATAATAAAAAGGCTAGATTTGAATAAAATACTTGTCCCTTTTTATATATTTTCTTTACTCAACTCTTTTCTATTTTAGAAAATAGTAATGAAAACTTTGTAGTGCCTCATGGTTTTGAATCATCTTTATTCTTGTTTGGCTGCCATGTTTGTCATGGATTTTAAATTTTTCACTTGGCCAAACTGAATTTTACTTCACATAAAATTCTGCTGCATTAATTAATTTGGTCTGATGACCATGTCAGATGAGAAAGTTGTTGTGTGTTCATTGAGCCAGTCAATGGAACAATTAATGCAAGCAATTCTTTACTTTCTGGAAATTGTAACCCGTGTGTTATGTATTTTTATTTTGTTATTTCTCATTTATTTCTTTTGTATTTTATTTTACTTTTATTTGTAATTTTTTTTTAATGTGGTTTATTTTTTCCTTGGTTCTCATATCTAAATTAAACATATTTTCTAAATCTTTTTTTTTTCTTAAAAACAAACAAACCCTTACTCACATCAAATAAATCTGATTTGACAAGTTTGCCACATTCCTGCAATCTGAATGAATCCCTTTTTATTGCAAGCACAAAAATACATTAAGCTTTCAAATGGGTGCAACAGCAGTGGTGGTTGTGGTGGACAGCAGTGAACACAAAAAATTTTTTGCTTATGCTTAAAAGTTTTTTTTTTTCAATTTTATTTATATATTTATTTACTTTGGTATTCTTATTTTTCAAGAGATTTTTTTCCTTTTAACTTTTTTGTCACAAATTTCCTCTCAAAATGAATTCCATCCCATTGCAAAAATTTTATTCTACTCATTCTGATTTTTTTTTTTATTTTTATCTCTCATTGTTTTCCCTTTGAATCCTCTTGCTTTGATCATCCAATTTTTAAAACCATTCCTGCCTTTGTGCTGATGGTACCAACAGGAGTACTTGCCACATTTTTCATACAGACAATCTTTTAATGATTATGTATTTCAATAAAGTTTACTTGGGGGTATAGGGACACCTGCCAAGTATATACTTGTGCTTATTCATTTCTTATGACAGACATTGCTGATTACGTGGCATGCTTATTGTTATCTCTTTTGATAAATCATATTTGCATTATGATCAGTCTAAAATTTTGGGAATAACAGTAAAAAAAAAAAAAAAAACAATTGTTTGATAAACATCTCATTTGGTTTTCCATTCAACATCAATATTCAGTTCAATTCAATATCAGTTCAACATTTCATTTGGTTCTACATTCAAAATCAAACGATTAAAAATATAATTTGATTTTTAAAAATAATCAAGTGTTACAAATTGTGAAGGCCAGGGCCAGAATGGTCAACAATTGGCCAGAGTGCCTCATGGGTGGGGTATTCTGACAGTAATGCATTGCCATTGTCTGGTTTTAGGGTATGAGTCCAAAATAGCCTGAATTCAACAAAGGGCTGCTAGAATTATGAAGTATTGATACGCCTCTCACACTCAGGTTAGAGACCAGCTAAGACTACCCGTTTAGGGATGTTGAGCCGATATTTGACATGTGTTTCTGTGACAGCTTTCCCCTTGCTACCTCTTAGAATCCAAGCAGTGGCCACTTTCTCCTAATAAAACAAATAAGAAAAATTGTCCATTTTGTTGATACCATTTTATGTAGTAGTGTAAGGACCCAGAGAAGACGCAGAATGCAATATATGAGTAATCTGCAATGATGAAGGTTTTTTTTTTTTTAAGTTGCCCGTATGCACCAAATCAAACCATGCTTTCCTTAAGGTCTTTGAGAAGCAGTCAGAATAAGTGGCTGATATAGCTGACCATGTTGGTAGTAGTAGTTTTAACAGAATCATAAAATGTTTTTTTTCCCATCCTTATTATTAGAACCTACTGCAGCATCAATATCATCTAAGACAATGTTTCTCAGCCATTTGTAAAGTATGAGCTTGTATTCTTCCTGTAGATCAAGGGTTTTGTTTCAAGTAATCATTGCTCAATCTGGTTAGACTGTCTTTATGTGCCATGTCTCTTCAGAATATTAGCAATAATGGCTCTCCACAACTTTTATCCCTTATAGTTCTAAGCAATTTTATGTTTATCCCATTACTTTTTCTTCCCACTTGTTGTCCTGCTATCCATTTACAGATTACTGGGTATTTCCCTCAGCTCCTCATGCCTTCAGTATATCCTGTGAGTGTCAAATTATCCCAGCTTTTTTTCCTTATTGTATTTCCTAGAAATTTCAGTATTGCTTCTTCAGACGCTGTGAAAGCAAATCTCCAGGAGTGCGCCAGTGATTGACCATAATGTGAATTGCAAGCATGTATCTACAAAAACTTTTTTTGGTGTTTTGCATAAAGAGCTTCGAGTAGTTTGATGTCATCATCATAGAAGATGCAGTCTACAGTAACATTGTAGGCAGTGTGAGAATTGTAGTTGGTAAATTCTCTGTTTAAATCAGCATCTGAAAAAGTACTGCTTAGCAGCTGATGTCAAATTGGAGTCTACATTGAAATGTTCTTGTTTTATAAACCTCTCCATTATTATTTTGGGCAACTGTGTCTGGTTAGTCCTCAAACCATCTCTCAGTGGTTTCAATTTTGTGCTTCTTGCATATCTTTCAGTGCCCATATGCTGCTACCTTGTTATGTCTGTGGATATATTCATTTTGGGTTAGTTCCATCCATCATTATCATCATCATTATTATTATTATTATTATTATTATTAGTTTGAATAAATTGTCCTAAATTAATAAAACTTCATGTCTGAAAAGAACAGAAATTCAAGTCAAACTACATCAAGAGACTCAGCTTTGTTAAATAAGAATGAAGATACCAGAATATTTTAAAAGTAATTGATAAGAATATAAAGCATTTCGTAACTTTGCCTTACATCCACATCACATTGAAACACCGGTTCCCATATGATCACTGAAGTTAAGCAACATAGAGTCTGGTCAGATGGGTGACCACTTGGGAATACCAGCTACAATAAGCTTGGATGTGTAGGTGGTGTAATGGATAATGACTCAGAAATCAAAACTGGAGAGCTGAGTTCCAATTCCAGTCAGATTTGTTGGATTTGTTTCCATGTAAATACCTTTGGAAAAGATATGAATCCACCTCTTCTTCCCTCCAACTATGAGTTAATTAGTAAGCCATGTATCATTAAATTATTATTATGAGTTAATTAGTAAGCCATGTATCACTAGATTATTATTATCTCCAAAAATAAAAATGCATACAAAAAATATATAGATTTCGATATTAAATAACCCACAGAAGTTGATATGCCGCTAAAGAAAAACAACCAAATATGAAACTTTAAAAGCTCTTCAGTAATCAATAGACATTTCGAGCAGAAATATGCAGATTCAGAATAAAAAGAATGAAAACTAATGCATGTTCTCCTTTTCATAGATCTTACTGAAGTTAACTTTCATTTTGCAAACTGTCCAAACAAACCTGGAAGGCTTTAATCAGTTGATGACTTTTGTGTCTCCTTGAATTCACTTGATAAACCATAAAACACTGAGTGACTTGTTGGATGACTGCCTTAAGTTAAATTTCTATTCCGCTTGACATTCAAGTGGCCATTTCAGGGCTGCTCATGGAATAGGCTTTGTCAACCTTCATCCATTATAAATTTTCAACAGAAGTTCAAGAGGCCCAGCAATAATAACAGATGGTAGTAATCAACATGAAGTTCTGATTTTTACCGATATTTCTTTCTTGGGAAGCATTCTATTTGCAAATATCTTGTTTGCCTTTTCGCTTGCTGCTGCCTCTGCCTGTGGCGGTTATGAGACTTTGTGGCATATTCATGAATTGATCTTCTATCCTGAGTAAAGCATGATGATAATGATGAAATAAGGTTGGTTGCTTGTGTGTATTAAGTTTGTGTGTATATTGGTTCAAAATTCTAATGTATATCACCTGAAAAAGCTGAAATGTTGTGAATATGAGTACACCAGTTCGAACAATGTAAATAGTTACAATACCTCATCTCAGAAATATAGACAGATGTACAGGTCACACATCAAAGAGAATTTTACTCTGGGTAGCTGGCATATTTATTCTTTTATAAACTAAAGCATATGTACTGATTATTTAACTTAGATAATTTTACAAAATTTCCAACCAGGTGACATTGGATTTCTGAACAAGAAAGCAAGGCCTGTTTTAAGTTTTCTCTTCAAATGAGTAAAAAAAAAAAAAAAAAATGTCAAATGACAATTTAGTCACACTTGCATTTTTTTTTTTTTTTTAATCATACTCATATCACTTTTCCTTTTAACACAAAATTTCAACTGGTTCATCCTTTAGGCAAATGTTAATCAGGTGGTTTCCTAATTAAAATTGAAGCATTTTCAAAATTCCAAATTTTCCAATTTTTTTTTATGCTTTTTTTTGGGGGGGGGGTAAAAATTGAAGAATGTTACAGGATTAACTGCCAATTGTTTTTGACAATACCTATCTGAAAACATTTGACAGTTTTAACTGTTGTTCCACACCTAACTTCCTGATTTGTCATAGAGACAAATAAATACCTCTTGCTGCAAGAACTAAAATGCTGCTATTAACCCACTGTATCCAAGACTTTCAAAATTGAAATCCTTTCCTTTGCTTTTTGTTGATTTCCACAGATCTGAAAGCTCATCAATTCCTGTCTTGATAAATGTATTGTTGAAATTATTTTTTTTGTTTAATTAACCTATTTAATATATGAAATTCCAAAACCTGAAATTATAGATGTTTAATAGATAATGCTAAGTAGTGCAAAGACCTATTAGGAAAATTCTCCATGCAAAGTAGACATAAACAAATGATGTTTTGTGTTATTATTATTATTATTATTATGTTATCTATTGCTTCTGTGAAGATTCTTTATTGATCAACGTGAAAGATTTATGAAAAAAATGAGGCATCTTTTTAAATACTGATTTCTTTAAGTACATATTATTAAAGTAAAAAATGTTTTTCTTTTCACTGAATAATTATCTCTGGTGCATTAATAGATTTCTTTTTTTACTTTGTGAGGGTCTTATTTATAAAAAAAAAAACAATTTAGAAATGAGACTGACTTTTCTCACAGCACTTGTTTCTTCTTCTCTTAAGAATTAATTAGATGTTGCTCATCTGATAATGAATGTTCAGTGACAAGATTTTCTTTTTAATTTTACCAAACACATTCTATTCTTTAATTTTAATTAGGCCTTTTGGGGTTCTTGCCTGAATTTCTGGGATGAGAAATTATCATTATTTATATTATTTACAGTCAGACTAATGTTGTCATCTTTGTTATCATCCCAGTGTTTCTGGTCTTCTTCAGGTGTCTATTGTTGTTGTAGGTAAACTTCAGGGAATTTTGAACAGAACCCTTTATTTAATCTATATGGACAGATTGTTCTGGTTCCACTGTGCAAGTCTCAGGACATCTTGTCTTTTTTTCCTTTCTAGTACTGCTCATTTATTGCCCAGGGATTGAACTCACAATTACTTCTTTAGTACTGTTCAGTTATTGTTACCCCTGTTTTCCTTGTCAGTGTCTGTACTACTTGATCCAAGGATTGAACTCACAATAACTATTCTACCAAATTCATGAAACAACAATTTAATCGTCTAGGTTATTTTCTTAGTTTTTTTTGTTTTAAAATGGTTCCCTTGAATGTCTGTACTAAGATTTTCAAGTACCTAAATATTCATTGGCTTTGAACCAGTACAGATACCATTGTATTGGAGTTTCACAGTTTTTTCCTTGAAATTAAAGATAATTTTATTTCTGGGAACATATTTGAATAACTTGGGAACAATTATGACTCTTGTATTATGATTCAGCTTACTGTAGCTGCTTTGCTTACCAACAGCTGTAACTTAAATTTTATTAGTTGCTGAGTGTCATTTATTAATTTCAGATGCCATTTTCACAGCTATGTAGATTATCGTTTTAATAACCATTATTAAACAACATGGCTCAGAAATAAAAAAAGAAAAAAAAAAAAGCTTTTAGTGAGATTTGAACTCCTATTCCTTTTTCTTCAAGAATCCTGATAACTGCTCTATTTCTTGAGTGATGAAAGAGTTCAAGTCTCATCAAAAACTTTTTAGACCTAATTTGTGTTGTTTACTTTGAGCTGTAAAAAGATAATCAATGTAGTAACAAAAAGCCATTGAAATTAGTATGTAAGAAATACTAGCTAAAATATTTATAATTAACTTCCTTAGGCCATATCTTTGTACAATTGGGATGGGGGAACTTGATGGATATGCAAGAAAATTTGCTTTTAAAGTGCCAAAGTGATTGGATCAAATAGAGTGCATAAGTAAATGTAATCTGACTATCAATCTGTGTCATGGTCGTCTCATTCCAAAGACACACCATCTTTTAGAAAAATTCTTTTTCTTTTTTTTCTTTCTAACTGTCCCTGGTATGTCAGAGGAAGCCTGACAAGAGCATGTTCTATGATATTTCTTACGTCCACATTCACAAAGAACTGTTGCTTTCCACTTTCAAATAAAACAAAAATGATTCTTAGAGAAATTCTTAAATTGCTGTTGGTGAACATTAGCAAATCGCATTGTGTCATTTTCTACTTAAATCTGCTAAAAGCTTTGTGAGATTTGGTAAATTGGTGGTGGGGGAGCCAAAGGAGATCGATTTAGCTCAAGTGGATAGAGACAAAAACACGTTTTATTTTGAGCACAATTAAATTCTCACTAATGAACCTGCTGGTAATTTACTTTCATGATTCTGTTTGTTGAGTGTCATACAATAGTGTCCAAGAGTTCTTGGGTTCATTAGAGTTCAGTTTATTTATTTATTCTTTTTTTTTTTTTTTTTTTTTTTTTTTTTTTTTTTAATTTTTCAGTCATTTATGTTTTTCCTCACGTTAAGTGAAACTCTGGCACTTTGCTTAGCAGTGTTTTCATTCATTTATTTATTGTAGTTCTCTGTAGGTGTTCTGCCTGCTGTCACCTGCTATATGTTCCGTAATCAATATTAGTGGTTACTATCTAACTGAATCCTAAAGAGTTATCACTTTCAATGGAGATAACTTCTTTTTTTTTTATTTCCATTTTTAACTTTTACCTTAGTTTATTTTTTATAAGAAAAATCATTCTAAATAGGGTTTTTATCATGTGCTATTTGAGTGATTTTTATGTTGGCCCTCTGCTAAGTGGAAGGAACTTTTGGAAAATAATGCAAGTTCGGATGTGAGGGGAAAATCAATTAGAACTTTGTAGAAGAAAATGTTTTAAATACAATTAGCTTTGTGGCTTTATGGAAAGAAATTCAAAGTGTTCAGATTTGAAGTTGGTAAGTTTGAAAATAAAATCTTTTTTTTTTGTTTATTTGCCAGATTTTTTTTTTTTTTTTTTTTTAAATTCTAATAGTATAAAAATGAAATTAAGCAAAATTATTTTCATAAAAACAAACAATTCTCCCCTATGTAGATATAAATTTTCTCTGAATTAAAATCTTTAAAATTTACAGTTGTGTGGGGTTGGAGGGGGGGGGGGGCTTTTGCCACCCAACTATTCCTGTTTTACATCTCCGCCGAACAAAGAATTTGTGTTCAAAGCTTTCAAACTTTACCAATGCACATTGAATAGAAACATGTTTCTTGTTTTTGTTTTTAGTTTCACTAATCTTCTTCTATATGCCGTGTCCCTTCAGGATGTGGGTGATCATAGCTTTCCACAACTTTTAGTAAGGTTTGTCTTTTTACTGTCTCTCTTGATACCTGTTCTACCATCCACTTACATGAGCTTGTTAAGTCAGTGATTTGCTGGTTTCTTCTATCCCTGTTACCTTCAATAAGTCTTATGAGTACCAAATTTTCCAAGCCCCCTTTCCTCGTTATGCGCCCTAGAAATTTCAACTGCGTTTTTGTTTCTAAGTGTCCATTTTGTATGGTCATCATCATCATCATAGCCATGTTTTATTGTTGAGATATGACCGAGATTAATCTCTCACAAAGCAAG